TAAAAATTGAAAGTCAAGCCAAAAATGTCAAATTAAATATTAAAAAAAGACAAAAAAAAAGTCTCACAATATATGCATAATGCCCCAATACATCAACCACCTCATATTATTCAAAAAATTATTTAATTTTTAAAAAAATATTTCTCACAAACCCTAAAATACGCGAAATTTTGATCAAACTTCAAGCAATAATCAGTTTAGATCCATTAGATTGGAAATGCAATTTGCTAGATAAGTTGATTACAATCAACTTGAATCAAATTTGAAGAAATATGACTCAAATTCAAAGACGAAAATAAGGAAATGGCAGAAATTTTTGAAGCCCTAACACTTCTAGCAAATTTGAGCAAAACAAATTGTTGAAAAATATACATAATGACAAATAAACTTTACCTAATCTATACAAAAATTAAACCTTTTATTCATAAAAAAACTGAAACAATGAAAACGAATTGCTACGATCCTAAGTTGTTGAACGAATGGAAATTTTATAGATGGAAATCAATTATTGGTGCGAATGATTGGCTTTGTAAAAGCAAGATTGAAAGAGGAAAAAAAAAGCCTATAATAATTCTATTAGGGACTCGGCGATTGAATTGCACAGAATAGCCGATTCCCTTTCAGGACTGGTCGGTTCACAATATATCAAGGAGCCGGCACAGCGTAGCTGGTCCCCAGGTCGGACCAATCGATTCGAACCCAAAACGGCTATCTTTTAAACCAAAAATTTAAGTTTGGGTAGTAAATGCTCATTTATCGTGAAGGGAAAAAAATTATCTCAATAGGTTCTAGATATCAGTTCAGAGTTGAATATGTCTTTCCAACATGTTCACTTAGAGGCAAATGAATTGGCAGATGGTTTTGCGAAAAAATGAGATTTTACTTGTTTGACTATGTAAATTTGTAATTTTCTTTTTACTATATTTATAAAGTGATAGTAATATTGTCAAAAAAAAAAAAAAAAAGAATGGAGAGAGAGAGAATATGTTTACACCTCTAATTGTACGATGTAAAAGTCCAAAAATCATGCAAATCAAGTACCTATATAGGCACTTGAGAATATTGGAAATAGAATGTCTAGATAATGTATTACAAGATGCAACAGTTTTTAAAATTGTATATCTATTTGTTTTTCACATCTATATATCTCAATATCTCAAGGTCGATATGTTTAGTTGAAAGATTTTCTAGTTTCAAAATTACTTTACTGATAGATATTTGAGGTGTGTTCAACTATGTTTTAAACGAGGGTGCGGCTTGTATGAGGTTGGCATCTTAAACAATCAAAGTAACATCGCGCTGATATCATGCCAAAAGATGGGGTTCAAGTGTCAGAATTCTTTTTTTTCTTCTACATCCATACATCTCAAAGTCAAGATGATCAACATGAGGGTTTTTCAATATCAGAACAGCCTATTCCAACCAGTTTTTGAAATACACCTTAGTTTTATAGTATAGGGTCAATAGCTTACATAAATTGTTTCATTTAATTGATAGGGTACTTTAGCTGCCTTATGCCTTATTTCTATAGTATAAGGTCCTTGTTTCACTTACCTAGAAACAAAATAAGGTTCTTATTTCTATAGTATAAGGTCGATACCCTATATAAATTGTTTCCTTTAACTGATAAACTATTTTGGCTGCCTTTCTAAGGTCCTTATTTCACTTACCCAAACAAAAAAATAAGGTCCCTATTTCTATAGTATAAGGTCGATACCTTACATAAATTGTTCTTTTAACTGATAAGCTATTTTAGTTTCCTTAGAAAAATAAGGTACATGTGAGTTATTTTTTTTGAATAACTTAGGATTTTTTTTTTTTTAAATATTTTATAATCATTAAAATTAAAAACCACAACTTGATAACTAGAGTGTTGGGATATTCTTATACTAGAGTGTCGGGGTGCTCCCACTCGTATATGAGTCGACAGATAAATTTTATCCTTTAAGCCCACGTTAAGAACTGATATTTCCCATGTTTTCCTTGCTTTCATGGTACGATACCAAATCTAAAAGCGCATTTAGAACTTATCGCATTGCTCTTTTTTTCCAAAACTTCTTTTTGAGCAACACAGACAATGGACCAGGAGAGCGTAAATAAAAACAGAAATCATTGTCAAGAAAGAGAGAGAAGGAGAGTTCGAGAGAGAAACTGAAAAGTTGAAAATATGACCAAAAAAACCTTTGAGATTTATTTGAGTAGGTAAAGTTCGAGATTATTCACTATGAAAGTAAATTTCCAAGAGAAAAATGACGAGCGTTTGTGAGGAACTGCACGTTTGGTTCGTGTGAAAATAATTATTGAAAAATATTCTTTCATTTTATTAAGTGTAAGAGTATTTTCACAACAATTGGTCTCAATACATCTTTTCACACCAATTAATAGTTAATTAATGTGAAAATATTCACACATTTAACTATATAAAAAAAAAATATTCACATATACAAAACCGAGATCTCCAATTCGAAATATCAAATCAAAGACAAGCAACTAATTAGAGAGATAGAGGGAGAGCCATTAAATTAAGAAGAGAGAATATCAAATAAAAGAGAAGTAGAGAAACATAGAACTTTTAGAGAGAGAGAGAGAGTCTTATTCACGACACCAAATTGAGGGAATTAATAAGAGATAAAAAGAGAGATTATATAGCCAATCGCTAACATCGCCAGGAATCCTGGACCTAAAAGTCTACTCCCTAATTATTTATTTCTTCAATGCCCTTGCTGGCCTCCCTACACAGCGTATGGATCAACGTCATCATCATCAATCATTTTCTATCTCTACTAAAAAAAATCAAAATTTAAATAATTTAGTTGGATTGAGCCCATCCCAAATGTCCTCACCAATTATTAAACATTTCTTCAAATATTTTATCCCAAAAAATATCCTACTCTCTCGGGAGTAGATTATTCATTTACTCTTTTGGGCAAAATACATGCTGGGGACACCGTTTAAGTGTCAATGTTGGGGATGTAATTTCTACAACGCATTTAATAATCTTAAAAAACAAAATCCAAATAAACTCTCTATATACTAGAAACAAACCAATGCCTCGAAAGTACATCCAATTTTTTGAAGGGAAAAGTTTATATAGAGCCGAGGCTCTAAACAATCAAATTTGAACCTATATCGAGTTGTTTTGTTGTTCAAATATCTTCAAATTGATCATCTCGACATCAAGATGCATGGACATGAGAAAAAATAGATTTAAAGTTTTGGAAATAGTGTATCTTGTAACGCATTTTTATATCATCAATTTTCAAGATTTTCAAGTTTTCATAGATCTGTCGATCTACATTATTTTTTAAGCTTTGAACTTTATAAATCATTATGAAAATATATTTTAAGGCTATCATAAAGATTTATAATAGTGAAATAATATTTCTCGACACTATTTGAAGGTAGGTTCTAATTTGAATGTTTAGAGCCTAGGATCTACACAAACCACACCCTTCTTTGAAAGGCTCGCTAAGTATCATAAAACTCAAAATTCAAAAAAATTTAAAAAATAATGATCTGATCATTTTTGTGGATTTCCCAAAATGTTAAACCAAAAAAAAAAGAAAAAAAAGCAACTTGGCTAGGTATTTTGACAAAGGGAGTACATGGGCAACAGTGCACCAGCGGGAGTACAGTATATGCCCCCAAAGTTTATATCACTAGAGCTCATTACGTAACTAAGACGTGTGAAGGGAAAGCGGCTTCTAGAAGGGATAAAAGGGGGTCCAGTTCTAAGCCTCAATCTCAACAGTTCATCCTGGGGCGTTGGGTTAGAGAGAGAGAGAGAGGGAAAAGAGCGAGAGAGAAGAGAGAGAGAGAAGGAAAAGAGACGAAGAGAGAAGAGAGAGAAGAGAGAGGAAGAGAGAGAGAGAGAG